AACTAAAAACACTCAGGAAAGGACTTCTAGAGCTGCTTCAGAAAGTGCCAAGAATAGTGGGAAAAGTGTGCTTAAGAAGGCATTCTGAAGAAGATTAATGGCAATGTGTCTCTTTTAGTACAATAAATTTTTTGAATTAAAACAGATTACAAAAGGTTTTATATGCAAATCCAGTGGTCACTTATCATTCCTGCTATCCTTTTCTTAAATACCTCATCTATTCTTTAAGCATATACAAAGAAAGACTCCGTATCTTTCTCAGCTGCCTCTTACTGTGATAAGTGAATCTGCCAAAAATAGTGGTGTACTCAAAGTGCTAAAAGGGTCATACAAAAAGAAATCTTTAATTTTTACACCCTTGTTTTTTCCAAGATTTACTTCTCTACCTTTAACTTTTCATCCTATCCACTCATATCCTCTGAGATCTTGCCATACCAGTTAAACTTTCTACTTCCTGATGAATATTTCTATTCATGACTTTCTACTCAAGATTCATAATCATGCTCACATTTTTCTTTGGATCATACACGTAGAAAATATAAGACTCTAAAAGTTATATTCATTCTATTCTTGGGAACTAATTTTAGACATATACATAGTTTAAATACTCTTTACTTTTCTCATATTTAGGTATTTTGAATGTCATATTATACTAGCAAGGTAGCTCAAGTCATAGTACAAAATGGAGCTAGAATTACTATTAACAATATTATAGTATCTCTAAATGAATCAGGAAGCTATTAGAGAAATAAAATGAGTAAAAATGTAAATCATTTAAATACTATTATAAAATGCAATACATAAATGAAATATTAAGAAAGACAAATGCTGGCCAGGGATTTAGTTCAGTGGTTCCACTGCCTGCCTTGCAAGCGCAAGGTCCTGAGTTCGATCCCAGGTACCAAAAAGAGAAAGACAAATACTGTTACCTAATCCCAGTGTCATATACAAAATACAAACCACTCCAATTAAATTACTTAATCAACTTCTTCCAAAAATTTGTTGATTTGTCTTTTGTTTATTCAGAGTTTAATAAGTATGCAACTAAACATAAAGAAAGGAAAGAAATTTGCATCAATGCCCAGATATCATCTGTCTTCTCAAAACTAAAATTTTGGAAGCTATAATGTTCCTTTTTAAACTGTGTTTTCTCTTTCACTAAACATTAATGCTGATCAATTAATGTTATTTTTTCCATTTTACTCATTCATTCCCTTATTCGACAAATACCTTACCTTAATAATTTTCCAAAGTTATTAGTACATTCTATAAAAGCCTTAAGTTAAAAGCCAATAATTTTTTTTAAATTTACAATATATTCCACATACAGTTTTTTAGAACAAGCAGTGCACGTCTTTAAAAACCTGGATCAAAGAACAAATCACAAAGGAAAACATTTTCTAATTCAAACTATATCATAATAGAAACACACAAAACAGAAATTTGTGAAATCCTCCTAAAGTATTGCTACGGTAGTAACTTACACCTTTAAATGAGTATATTAGGAATGATCAGTGTTAAAGTTTCTAACAGAAAAAGCAAAAAAAAAAAAAAAAAAACCAAAAGATAGGAAGCACAGGAGGGGATATGGGAAAAAGGGAATCCTTGCATACTGTTGGTTAGAATGTAAATTAGTACAACCATTATGAAAAATAGTATGAAAATTACTCAATTAAAATAGAACTACCATATGAATCC